GCCTTAAGCCACTGAAAATTGTGGCGAAATTTGTCAATTGATTTTTTGAGTGATATTCGTATGAAGCAAATGCAATATACCTGACTGGTAGTCGAACAACAGCGGATCACCTTACCTATAATCCTTCTGAAGCAGGACAACGGATGACATTTCTTTGGATGGAAATTGAATACCACAGGCTAATCTATAGCCCACCTATTTGCAACGGTAGTCACCGATGTATGGTCTAAGCTACCCCCTTCACAACGGTTAGCTTGGATACACAAATCTCACCCATATGGAAGTGAAACTGCGACCGACGTCCAAATAACACGGAATTTCTTTAAAATCTGCCGAAGTTCCAGATAATGCACTCATCTTTTCGTTCATGCAATAATTGTGTACAGGAGGCTTTTGTTTCAACAAGTTCTTCGTTTCAGGCGACATTCATGGACAATATTATGATCTTTTGCGGTTGTTTGAGTGCGGCGGCTTTCCGCCCGATTCTAACTATCTTTTCCTTGGCGACTATGTCGACCGAGGTAAGCAGTCATTAGAGACCATTTGCCTGCTGTTAGCGTACAAAATAAAGTATCCGGAAAATTTCTTCCTGCTTCGAGGCAACCATGAATGCGCATCGATCAATAGGATCTACGGATTTTACGACGAATGTAAGATTCGTGGTTTATTTCTCCGCATTTGCTTGTATTCGTTTTTGTTTCTAGGTAAGCGACGGTACAACGTCAAGTTGTGGAAGATCTTCACCGATTGCTTCAACTGTTTACCAGTGGCGGCCATCATTGACGAAAAGATTTTCTGTTGTCATGGAGGTAAGATCCAGAAATTAGCTTATATGATATTTCCGCGAAACCAGTTCCATGGAACAGAAATGAAACGGCGTTTTTTTTACCTTAGCACTGTACAGCCAGTTCTTCGTATGGGATTTTTGGAAGCAGAGCCTAATGCAATATATTCATTGTTACATGAAAAGCTATCATAAATGATGTCATTAAAGGAAAATCGTAGATTCTGCAAATGTCAACCTTCCGTACATTTTCATGATGGGCCCATTTTTTGGTACTTTTCTTTTCACGCAGTTAGTGGTTGGGGCCGATCCTCATTTCCATGCCATCAGTCAGGTGCACTTCGTTTGAAGGGGTGGGCCGACAGCAGCTATGTGGCAAGCGCTAACGTGTATTCTCCTGTTTTCTTTGCACAGACTAGTACTCAGTTACCATCCTTTGAGGAAAGAAAGGTAAATGACCCTGACCGCGGTTCGAACCTTCGAACCCAGGGCCTTTCGGTTCTGAATCAGACGCTCTACGTCTACCGATGCTTTTATGACTTCATACTTATTAATGTCACTGTTCATAATGAAATTCGTGTCATTATAAATATAGCAAAAATATTGGTTAGTATGCGGTCAAAAACAATATTTTATGTGCCTAAAGCATTGTTTCTAGTTTCCTAGAAGGTAAACAACATAATACTAAGCCTCCATGACGCTGAAATACTTGCAGTAAGAGAGGCATCTTGCAGTTTACGCCCCCGAGGCAATGGAAGTGCACTGATTTGCTGATTGCATTCGTTACGATGTAATATTTCAATCGGAAAGAGGAACAAAGCAGAACAGCGTTGACCTGGGTGAATGAGCAGAAAGCAGTAAATTCAAGCCAGGAAGCAAGGAATGATGCTGTTGCCGCCAAGGCCTAATTCAAAGGCAACTCCGGGTCGAGCAGCACCGTGTGAAGGACATCAGGAAACGTGACCTGCACACCTACGGAGTCTGTGGTACGGTAAAATGGCTTCAAGCTCTCAAAAATTAAAGAAGTTCTGTTCATCTAAACCTGCAAATGTTTCAACGTGGCAAGTAACATGTGGAGAATTATTTCTGGACTGTGACGACTATTAACAAATTGGCAGCTGCTGTCGATTTCCACGTCTCTGCAAATTGATATTTACTACATTATCGTTGTTTCCACCCTTGTGTACATTACGCCCTCATACTGGAGTCAACCCATGGATTAAGTTACCCCTGTTTACGAGCTACTCAGTAAATATGAAAGGACCAATAATACTGTGCTTTGTAATTCTACACTACTAATCATGATTTATTGATCATATGTTAATCAGCTAGTGGCATTCTGGTTAATTGAAACCTCCTCTCCCGCTTCAAAATAAAGTCGAGCCATCTTCTTTGTTTCAGGTCTTAGTCCTGATTTGCAGAAAATGGAACAGATAAGACGTATAATGCGCCCCACTGACGTCCCTGACCAAGGTTTATTGTGTGACCTTCTATGGTCAGACCCGGACAAGGACGTGAACGGCTGGGGAGAAAACGATCGTGGCGTTTCGTTTACGTTCGGGGCCGAAATTGTACAAAAATTTCTTGTGCGACACGACATGGACCTGATTTGCCGCGCTCACCAAGTACGTCAACTTTATCTCTTTCTCATCTTTGTGCTTGTCTATGAGAATTCATTGCATTAATTTTCTTAGTGTTTGGAGCAATGTTTGCTCTTAGTTTTTTCTTTACTTCGAACAAAGATCTGTGTATGTGTGTTGGAGGAGGGGTGAGTTCAGGGAGATTAATGCACTTGTGAATTGCAAAACTCAAAACTTTTGAAAACTGTAACTGATTATTTTATTCACGATTAAGGGACACAAAATAGAGCTGATGATTAGTAAAAACTTTTATTTGCCGACGCATTTAGCTACCGCGTCGATAGCATAATTGTCGGAACACAGCTGATAACTCCAACCGCATGCTTGAATCCTGACTGTGTGCCACAAACATCGACCATTAAGTAACTGCAGTTTCAAAGGGTTCAGACTCTAAAACTTTTTTTTAATTATTGCAAAGAGAATGCAGATTAAATCCTAAATGTCTTTCTTAGCTATTTGCTCTTTCTCAGCTTGAATCTTTCATTTCAGTATATATATGCAAATATAGTCTCTGTAGTCTGTGTATATCATATGTATTAAATATTTACGCCGTATCTTTGTATGTACTACTTGCAGCACGTACTAAGTCATTATTCATTTTATAAATTCTAATTGTGGATAAATAGATATAGATAAATAATATTAGGAATATAGAGATCTTGAAAGGGATTTTTATTCCGCATTTCTGACATCTTAGTTCTTCAAGTGGCGGAGGTGTGATTGTCATTTTTTGTTCATTTCATCGTATCCTCCATCGAGCATCGTCTGTTTTCATCCTTCCTTTCCATCAGTCCTTTTATTTCGTATGGAGGATTGACAGCCTAGTGAAGCGGTTGTTGGTGCTTTCTTCAAAAATAAAGATAACGGCCATAGTGGCTTAGGTCTATGCTCATCAGAATATCTCCCTATGCGATCCTGTACTTTTCTAATTGCATGCCTTCTTGTTGTGTGCATGATACATGACCATCGAATTCTAAAAGATCTGTACATTATTAAGATACAAAGTTAAATGATCTTTTATGGATTAAACATGTAGGACACAGGGTATTTAGCACATGCGCTGAATAATGTACATTGTAAAATACGCCGCGTAATTTTATATTCGTGTTTACATATTTTATGCATTATACATGTGACACATACGAGGTGCATGGAGTATCAAAATTATATAATATGCACACAGTATGTACCCTACGTAGCATACCTTTTCTGCTACATCTGCCAGCATAACTGTACTTCTAGTCATATCCGTCAAAATATAAGGAAGCGAGTACGTTATTGATAGAACACTGCTCTCGATATATCTGACATGTACAATCACTATATACCGTTTATTCTGCGCATATCATAAACTATCAGTTTTCTGCATAATACAAAGCATGAAAGCTGTAATATGTGCGCGAATCTGTTAAAACAGCAATGTAAATGTATATAGTTATCATGTAAAAGGGGTGCCTCAACATATATAAGATTTAGAATGTAAATATTTTTAATGTAAATGCATGATTGCTTAACTACGGGCATTGATGGCTGTAAAATACGTAGTATGTAAATCAGTGGTCGAATTGCGTTTGTTAATATATAGGGAATACCTTATACCCAGGGAATATTTTAATTTGTACCATACCTAGATGCGGTATTAACTGACTTTCTCAAGGCATGTATGTATAACGCACGTGTGTCGTTGTACACGGTATGCCGTTACTGCTGAGTGAAATCTTGTACAAATACTGTATTTGCCATATGTGGCTCTCATTGGTCCGAAAAGCTGCAAACGCTTCAAAATACTGTTTCAGAATGTGTTATATTGTATGTCCGTTAGTATTTGCACAATATATATTGCATACACTGATTGTTGCGTTGCAGTTACATTATGTACCACATTTTCATAAGTACTTACGTTATTCTTACGTTATCACCTGATTTCCATACCGAGTGTACTTTGGCTAACAAGTACGTGCAACATAAGTTTCAGTACATTTACTAGACTGCATTATTTACAGTATAAGATGCACTATATTTTATGCGTATGTTATATATATTGTATTTGCCACTGTATATAGTAACTATATAAAATAACGAAGATGTACTTCAGACAGTCAACGTCGTTAGTGATATCATTAATATCGCTACGCTTGTCTTTATACATTCTGCGTATAGATCAAACCCTGAAGATTGTGTGCATTTGCAAACATACAGCATTTGTCTGTCAGTGTACCGTATAACGAGCATGATACAAATAAAGCAGACATGCTTCGTGTGCAATAAATAAATCGACGGAGGCGTTTTGTGACAAATTTTGCACGCTATACTTTTAAGTTATATGCTATGTGTAATATCCATTTTGTTATATGTATTATATGTAATACAATCTGACAGTGATCTTTATATATGCTGTTATGTATCTTATATCTTTATGGGTGTATAGGCATAATATACCTATATGGTACTTGTCATGTATTACTTAAGGTCTGTAGACCCGTATGCGTAATATATCTGGAGCAAAGATAGACAGGGGTCATATCTACATTCTCTTTGTCGTGAATACACTACCTGTAATTCGTAAGTCGATATCCCATCTAACATCTATTCATGCTGACAGTTAGGAAAAATATATACTACAGAACAGTACATGTGCACTGAGTAAGAGTGTATTATATGTTAAGTATTTTGATAAATCTGCATACTATTGACGGTAGAAAAGGAGTTGTGTTCTGCAGACATTTGGTTGTGTATAGAATAAAGCTCTTTTTATCTGTCAGTATGATTTCCACTGACAAGTTTCTTCGAACAAAATCTGCGTAGTAGTGTACACAATACCAGAGTACGCAAGTAACATATGTACTTCGTACCTGTCAATATTTAGCATTATTTACGAGCAGCAGGTATACTGTATCTAATAATGCATGCATTAGTAAAAACAGATAGTACATGCAATCTCGTACTGTTTATGTACTGCACATATATCAGTTTGGTTGCAGTACTTCATTACCATGCACGTAAGATATAGCGCAATTATACCGTATCTGTAGTATGCTTGTCGAGTCATGTATTTCATGCAGACAAGATATCTCTTTATGTCCTCTTGTGTATCTCTCTACAACGAATACATACACTGCTTGTAAATAGTGTTCTGCATTTACAAATTCGATGTGCTTTTACTCTGTACACACCCTGGCTTTGTATATACTGCGACGTAGATTTATATGCATATTTTGCGCGTTATAAACTGTTACGGAGTATTTATGCAGTGTGTGTTATGCGTACTGCAGGCAGTATATGTTTACCAACTGTCTACGTGTATAGTAGCTAGAACATTTCCACCTACCTGCGAACTGAGTTTAGTGCATTCACAAATAGGGAATGTTCATACACAGTATATACTCAGTAGCAGTCATTTTTTCCTTTGGATACATTCGCATGTGGGTATGTAAGTGTTAAGCACTATGTGATCATAAGTTTCTTAGACAGTATATTTTATTCTTCGTATATTAGTATATCGATATATGTAAATGCTTTATATACTCTGCGAATTGCTGTGCTACTATATTCGTAGTGTATATTCTAATACATGTAGTATGTACAGTGTTTACACATTATTTTTCAGAATGAGTAGTATCTAAAAAATTTTGGCAGGTGATATATTAGCTGTTGTATATAACATATATATAAATAGATCGAGCGCGTGTATAT